CCCTATTTTCGGCCGGATAGACTCGTGCAGCTTTTTAACTTAATACCGATCTTAATCTGACTCTTAGATTATCTAGTCTCAATAGATCTAGTGTATACTGGTATTTGCTAGTTAGATATCTGACACCGTTCTGAAGGAAAAATACTGTCTTCTAAGTTATATTCATTTTCTCCTGTCGATGAACCATTGAATAGTTTCGGCTTTGCAAATAATTGTAAGTTTTAGTTATGAATCTTGAGTGATTAGTTAGAAATATTTTGTAGAGATTGTTTTATCGATAAAATAATTGATTATAAATAATAATTTTAAAATGGTTTCAAATTAATGTTTTACTGCAATAATTAGTCCTGTATCAAAGTAGGTTCTGAGTTTGTTGTCTGGGTGGTAGAAGCGATCTTAATTTGATTAAGAAGAAAAATTAGAAACGCGTTTGACAAACCAGTATAACAATTTTGTATAAGTTTAAATTTTTTGATTTTTTTTATTATTTTGTGAGGTAGGTTTATTTGCTTATGGTTTGAAATTTTGGTTATAGGAAACTCGATGTGTTTGCACAATGAGCCTGTGCAACAGATAGACGCCCCCTTCTGTGGGGACTACATTGTCAACAAGGAGGAAGGGGAGGAGTGTGATTGTGGTGGAAGGAGGCCCTGCAATGACCCCTGTTGTCACCCTAACAACTGTACCCTTGTGCCAGGTAGTGAAGTGAAGGTCGATGTTTAAAATTAATGATCAAACTAAGCAAAATTGTAGAAACAACCTAATTCAGGATGAATTCAGAACAAGATAATCATGAGAAGAAAGATGGTTTTTGTGAGTTAGTTTGGCTAAATTAAGAAAACAGAACTATAAAACTTTCCAAAAAAATAGGTGACCTCAATTTTGATTTGAATCAGAAAATCTTTTGAAATTTTCTTGAGAAGTTTTAACTCGAAACTTCAGTTCAGGTGTAAAGGATGATCATTTTAAAGCTAAGTTCAAGTTCAGATCTTTTACCTTAATGAATCAATAAACCGAATGCACTGAGAAAATCAGGGTGGACATCTATACGAAAGTAGTGCTTTACATATAATTCCTTTAAAACAATCTATGCTAAATGTTTTTATGCACTTTCTGTTTATGCAATTTATAAGACCACAATTTTCCTCCATACGAACAAAAACTATTGCAAAATCGAGCATATTTGTTTTTTGTTGAATACTCTAAATGCCTGTATTTCTCTGTTTTTTCCTGAATGATAGATATTTTGACTTGCAAAAGTTTTTTTTGCACTGCAAACTTGCTTCTTATTCAAATTTTTTTTATGAAAACTATATGATTGTTTTTGTTTGCTTTAAAAAAACTATAAAATTCAGGGAAAAAAAGAAATTTTCATTTGGGTCACTAAACCATTTTAATGAACAAACCAACATAGCTGTTTTTCAAAGAAGAATCAAAAATGATAATAAAGTTTTTCTGTGATGTCAGCATGATGAGCTTTTGATTTTAGATAATAACATAACAAACAAGATCTGTTCAAAAATAGGCCAAAACTTCAACAACTGACTTTTTTAAATAGAGGTCTCATTGCCATACACAGAAATTGTTTTTTTCTTTCAAAACAGTGTAAGAATCAATAGTTTCTTTCTGTCATAGCGTACTTAGTAGTTTAATTTGCAATAATGGTGTCGTTCAACCTACTGGTTTTCTCACTCTAAGTTACTTTTTGTTTGTGATTCAGGGCAGAATATTAATTAAAACGCGCGACAAAAATCTGGCAAACTATGGAAAAATGCTTCTCATACTATCTTATTTGTTTTGAAAAAATTGCTAGTCATTCTTTTGCTATAAACACTTTTTTCTTCCACTGATTTCTATGATACGCATTGTTTCCATAAATGAAAAAAATTTGATTTGCACTGCTCTCAAAAATTAATGTTAGATCTAACTAGTCCTTTTATAACCAATTCAAATGTTTGAGCAATCTGAAGATCTAACTAAAAACTGTCGGTAAGAAAAAAGTCTATCAACTAAAAGCTATCTAAATAATTGCCTGCTATTGAGGCTCAAGAAGCCTTTTTTCAAGAATATCTGGTCAAGATTGAAAGTTTTGAATAATCTCATTTTAAATCTTAAGATATTAAATTCCAATTTGAGATAAAAACTACCGAAAAAAGAAGTTGTGATTAACGTTTTGGTAATTTTTTTCTGATAATCAAACCTTTTTGAAGCAGAACTTGAAAACTATTATTCATGCAAAAATAAGTTTTTTTTTCAAACATATTTCATCAAGAACGTTTGAAGCAAAAGTTGAGAAAAAGTATCAATGCTAGCGAAATAATTCGTGGAACTTTCCTTATATATAAAGGATATTTTTTCGGTAAGGTCTTTTTTTTAAAACGATTTAACGATAATGTTTTAACCTTAACGATAATGTTTTGATGTTTTTCTCGTTTCCTATGAAACGAATTGATGAGAAATTTTGTTGTGAAAAAATATGCGAACTTGTATATATTCTAATAACATAAAACTGGGCGCACAGATTTTGCACAATTTGATTGCAGGTAAAAAAAAGTAAAGAGCCTCAATAATCAGTTTTCGGACTTTTTTGGGTCTAATGAATGTGAAATACGCCATACGTAGATGCGAAACACGAAGTAATACAGTTGAAATTCTACAAATTTAAAAAAAAATTTACAAACTTCAAAAAAAAATTTCACGAGAATTTTATTATCAACGTATTTGAAAACAAAATTTTCTTTGGAATAATGTTTGCATGCTGCTGATTTATTGGTAAGAAATTCATCTCTGCGGCTTACAGCGATGATGCAAACCCCGAATATTTCACAAATCTTTGAGACTTATGCAAAAACAGATGCTCGTTTAACAGTTTTAAAAAAAATTGACAATAATAGTTACCAAATTGCAAATACTTTACTTTTTGTCTAGAGTCCAATTATTTCGTAAATTAATTTTGGCAAAAAAGCAAAATGAAAAAAATGCAAATTGTTAGAAACATCGAACAGATGATGTGACATGGAGAATTAATGTGGTACAGAAAAGTTTTCTAGATATTTCGTGAGAAGTCAGGATAAACTTTGATCTTTTTAAAACTAGAACGCTTTTCTGAGTCATCCTGAAACACTAAATTTTTCAGCTTTGCAAGCCAAATTCAAAAATTAATTTAAAGTCACAAATTTTGACAAAAAGTTATCAAAGTTATTTGAGCTCCGTTTTTTTTTCATATAAGTCATCTATGTCTCAGCTGCGCCTGACAGGTTTGATTCACACAAGCAAACTGTTTACAACTTGATCAAAACTTCTAGAATATAAGGCACAATTGAGAGTTGATTTATTTTTCCAGCTAGAGTGGTTACCCAGCTGTGACGAATGAACGAATTTGTTGTCTAGGTTTCTAATTTGCGCTGAATTTTTCAAAAATTGAAATATTGCTCGCAGGGGCAGATTGAATATTTTTGAGAGGGCGGATACTTCAAAACATGAACATTTTGTTTATTTCTCTTCTTTGCAGTCTTATGTCAACCTAAGCTCATTGTCATCGTTAACTTCCTTTTATATGTCAAAATGATCTTTTCAGGAAAAAGGCTCGGTTTTTTGCAGAGGATACGTTTCAGACAAAGCTGGCTTCCAAGTAAAAACATAACAAGATCGAAGCAAAGCTAAGACAAGTCAAGACTGGGTCTTAATGTTAGTTAGTCAAGATTTCTTACTTGAGATAGACCTCGCGATAAAAAATAATAATATGCAGATAGCGTTAATGATTATCAACTTTAGGACCAACAGAGTACTATATTAGGATTCATGGTTTCTTACTTGAGATAGACCTCGCGATAAAAAATAATATTATGCAGATAGCGTAAATGATTACCAACTTCAGGACCAACAGAGTATTATATTAGGATTAGGTTTATATTAGGATTTAAATTATTGTGAGAATATTTTTGATTGATCAACATGAAATCACTAACAAACCGTTTCTAGATTTTTGGCATCCAAACATGCTTTAAAACAAGAAAATCTAAAGGCGGTGGATAAGTGGCAATTTTTGTTACTAGGCCTATCCAAGATAGTTCGATGCTGGAATTATCCACAGTGCTATGCCAAATTCAACGATCAGCGGGTAACAATAACTGTTTACTAACTTCTGACAAATTCAAAAGCATGCAATCAAAGACAAGACTGATGAATTTTTGCGTTTAATAACTTAGCTATTGAAAAACCACTTTGGCTACATATTTTGGCAAAACTACCATGATTCATGCTAGCTTGAACAAAAATTTTTGTCCTTAGACTACTTGTACAAAGATCACTGCTCTTATTCAAGAAACTTGCTGCCCCAAGTATTTGTAATACACCACTGCTATCCAGGTGCGTCATGTTCTGCCATGGATCTCTGCTGCAACCCTGGAACCTGTCAAGTTCGTAGTGCTGGATTTGTCTGTCGAGCCGAAAACAACGACTGCGACGTAGCCGAACAGTGCAATGGAACCAGTGCCGAGTGTCCGAATGACGACTATAACAGAGCAGGCATGAAATGTACTGCAGATGGATCATTGGGACACTGCTACGCGGGAAGTTGTCGATCTGTGTACTCTCAATGTCTACAGTAAGCCTGATCAAAACGGGTTACTTTCCTCTCCACCTCAAATAAAGCATAACAAATATGGTTTAAGGTTAATTATAATTACCAACCCGCACTGGGTTTTCATGAATATTAATCGAATGTAATGGATTTTTCTTGTCAGTCTCTAAAAAAGTCAAGTGTAATCCGTTATGGTTGATCAAAAGTTAATTATAATCCGATCATCTTTTATGTCAATGTAATTCATTATAATAGATTAAAATAGATGTTTTCAATGATTTTTGATAAAATTTGCAAACTTTTTCCAAACTTATTTCATTTCCTGTTTAGTGCACTTGCTACGTTTTATGTTTCATAAGCTTTTACTTTTCACATAAAATTTTCGTTTTTCAATTTTTTTCTATTTTTGTTTATGTTTTAATTCGAAAATTCTCGACCTTTCATAGCATTGCAAAAAATGCAGCAAGCATACTCATAATTATTTCTGCAGAAAATGATCGTCTCTTACGGATTTTTCTGGGAAAAAAATCAGCTTTTATTGGCCTATGCTGAGGAAAAAAATCAATTGTAATAGAACAAAAATTGACCAAAATGGACTTTTTTTAATTTGAAAAAAAATCTATTATCATCCACTAAAATTATAGGTAAGTTTTAAGACGGGCATCGATTATATTGTCCAAAAATTTTTTCATTGAAAATCCATTATAATCGATTATCATCCGTAGAACTCCGGTGCAGGAAAGGTTATGTGCTGCTAGACAGCAGTATAAGTTGACGCGTCATTAGGCATACAAAAATTTTGGATTCGATATCCAAGGCAATTGATTTCTGCGAAACAAAACAAAATACATCACTTGATTTTTGAATTGATACTTAGAAGTCTTCGATTTTAGTCTCATTTCACGTCCCATGATCAATGTTACAATTTTCTGAAGCAGAAAAGTTATATCTAACAAGTTTTTTGAAGTCTGAATTGTTTCATCAGAGCATCGTTTTGAACTCATCAAGAGTGATGAACTTATTGAGTTCTCTTATATAGGTCTTTGTGACTTTTTTCAGACAAAAAATCTTAAAATTTGTTCACGCTTATTTCTGGTTTTTCGTGGTTTGAGTTTTGATTTATTTTTAAGTTCACTGCATTTCCTTTGTTAAAGGAAGGCAAACTGCACTACCAATCAACAAAAAAGCAAAGGACACAGCAAACGTGATCGATTTCTTTTTTAATTAGCATATCGATCCTGTTTTCTCAAATTGGGTTAATTTTATCAAAAAAGCACTAATCAATTTGTTCGTGAAAAACAAAATTCTTTTTGGGGGCATGGACTTTTTTATGAAATTCGAAAGTTGAAGTTTTTCAACGTTCAGTTGGCTATGCTTAATTTAAATTAATGACAAAAATATCCATTATCAGAAGATCCAAGCTATATTGACCAATTTGAATTTTTACTGACTGAAGCTGATTTTTTTCTGAAAAAATAAAAAAAACCGCGGACTGATTTGAAATAAACTCTCCAAAAATTAGTTTAAAAAATTTTAGGTGATTTATGTGAACTGGTTGAATTTAGGATTTATACTGTTTTAAGTCAAATAATTGCACTTTATTTTTAGTATCGACTTCTGAAAAAGCGCATGCGGATCTTTTGTAACAATGTTGAAGTTTTGACCTTCACTGAAGGCTATTCAAAACTCAACATTACAAAAAATTATTAACAAACTGAAACTGAAACAATTTTTGGTCTTAACGTCTTAATATTTTTGACCATGCTTTGTAGTTGAATTATGAAACCAAACTTATAATGGTGGAACAAGATCATTGACCAACTTTGAAATTTAAAAAAAAGCTATTTGCAGAAGTTAAACTGAGTTTCAATAAAAAATTGAAATATATAAATTAACCTGTACAATAAAAGTACTAAGAACACCAACAAACAAAACAGCTAAACGTTTGTACATGTTTTCTCACCACATCACACATGCGCATCAATTTTATGATTCAATGAAAATTTTTACATTTTGTTTTCAATTTGATTGATTTGAGTTAACCAAATAAAAACTCGCGTTACCCATTTATGTTAGCTATAAGTTGTCATTTCTGGGAAAAGTTTGAAAACCATTCATTAACATATTAGAGAAAGCGAGCTATCGTTAATTCCGCTTCAAAAGCCGAGATCGTTATTTTCCGTTGAAATTAGGTTGATTTCATGTTTACTGTCTTCCTAGCCTTTTTCACTGACTTTTTCAATTCAATTATGACTCAAATGAGACTTTTGCATGTATGAACAGTTTTTGTCGAACTTACGGCACTGTAAAATAGGAACAGAATCTAAAGCTTGGCTTGCGAATACAAAACTGTTCTACCAAGATGGTTTTTTTATTCGATCTTTTCTTTTTTTGTTGTATCAGAATTTACGATCCCACGGGTTTACGAACTGACTCAGCCGAACAAGACGAATGTTCGAACTCAAACAGAAGAGGCGACAAATATGGAAACTGTGGTTCTAGTTTTCATGAGGACCTAACTGCATGTAGCCAAGAAGACCAGAGGTAATTCTTTGGATGAAATCCGCTCAAAATTTTTAAATCTATAGTTTTTTCCCTGATATCAAAAGGTAAAACGCATAAATGTGTTAAAATCGGGGACCATATCGGATTTTTTTTGCTGATATAAACTTCTGATACAAGCCCTAAAAACCCGATTTGAATTGCAATCTCAAGTATTTTGGCTCATATTTTGACATTTCATTAGTACTACAGGCGTAACACGGGATTTTTTAAAGGAAATTAGCGACGGCCAGATTTTTCAGAAAAACGGTCTGCGCCGAAAATTTTAACAAATAAACGTCTTTGAAACTGCTCAATTTTTACGAATATCACATTTATTTTATGCGAGTTTAAAAACTGAATTTTTATTTGATGAAACAAGTTTTCAACTGCCGTACAAGCACTATTTTATCCAATGGCTGCAACACAAAAACTACTAAATTTAACTACTTAGTCGAAAGATGCAGATCATTGAAAAAAAAAACACGTCGATATCAATATTCTCATATTCTCAGTGTGGCCTTCTCATAGAGTAAACTTGGATAGGGTACACTGTCTGTTCGTCCCGCTATCAATTTTTGACCGGATAGGTTCTTGCAACTTCTTGGTTCAATAGCAATCCTAATCTTCCTCTTATATTTCCTAGTCTCAGTACATCTAGCGACATACTGGTTAATTGCGAGTTCAGAAGAGACAAGAAACTAACTGTTTTCTATTTATATTCTCAGTTCTCTAAGGAACTAGGGTTTCAGACTTTTGATTTAAAGTGAGATTTAGAAAAGAATTTTATTGGGTTAGTTATGAATAATTTACAGTGATTTGTTTTAAAATATAATAACCAGTTCTACCCATCTGGGGTCAAAAGTTTTCTATTTCGTGCAGGAGTGTTTTCTGTTTTGAAAGAGTCGCCGGTTGTTTCTGCGAACTACATATGATGTTAAGGTAATATCGTGATCCCAGAGAGGTCGAAGTGATGTGCAGAATGTGACCGTAGAGAGTCGGTTTCATCATTCAGAGCCAGACTACTGGCACTCTTACTTCTCGCTCACTCTCGACTGAGCAGTGAGATAACATGTTCACGTTTCTGAGAGAAGTGTCAACTGAAAAAGACACGTATATAGAGTTTAACATCGAGATGGCCACTGTTCTGTTTCAATGGGTTCTTTTCGTTGGAGTGATCATCTCCCTTTGCCGTTTTTGAAAAAAGTTGTATGAATTATTTTTTGGTTTTTTTCAGTTTTAAAATTTCAGTTTTAATTTCAATTTTAATTTTGAATTAGGTAATTGGTTTTGCAGCAAGTTTTGTTTTAATTTCAGTTTTAATTTTCAGTTTAAATTTTGTTTTAATTTCAGTTTTAATTTTGAATTAGGTAATTGGTTTTGCAGCAAGTTTTGTTTAATGTTGGTTATTTTGAAGATTTGCTCACACTAGAGCCACTTCCAGCAAAATTAGAGTGCTGTGTCTATGCGTGATGTAGCTTAGTTGGTCAGGCAGGCTAAATAGCTTGCTCAATATGTCCTTACTGGTGGGTGAGGCTAGTTATGAGAGTGTACCTGAGACTGGCTCATCGAAAAGGGGGGCTTTTGGTTACAGCCTTTTGTTTCTTTAAACTTGGTGTTTTGTCAAACATAATTTGTTGTTTCCACTTGTTTACAATAGCTTATCCTTGTTTCGTGTTAATCTGGGGCTTATTAAAGATGCATGTGGTCTTAAAGAAAAGTCGATTTTGATTTTGGAAAGAATATGTTATCCAACTTGTTCTAGTCTGAATTTTCCTCCACATGCTCGTCGTGCGGTAGTAGCTTGGTGCGGCTGAAAAGATGCGTTTGTTTTTTGAGCTTTATTCCAACCCTGTATATGGAAAATTTGACAGCTTTGAAAGCTGGTTTGAGTTATTATCAGCGTTTAGCGAAAATTTAAGTCCATCTATTTGGTGCAAGTTGCCATGCAAACTATAAAAAATTTTAAACACTCTATTGATAAGTAGCAATTCGAGGAACGAACTGATGAGAAATAGAAAATTCACACCCCTACTAATGATAGTTTTATCTGTAACTTATGTCTGAGCTGTATTGAATTGTGTTACAAATTTATTGCATTGATATTAATAAAACACTGCTCAATTTTAAGTTATGTTGAACATATTTTTTTAAAACTGCAATGGATTAGTACCATTTGAATTACTGATATAATGAAAAGTCTAAGCAAAAACGGTGAAAATTTTTTGAAAGAGCGACGTTAGGATATTTATCGAGATAGAATGAACAGTGGAATGAGTTAATCGGTGAATTGTTAAGGGTGTGTTGAATGAAATTATTTTAATCATACTCGAGTTGGTTGTGTGTAATAGGGATGGGAGTATCATCAAGGGTAACTTCAAGGGTTAGCATCAGTATAGGACGCACCAGAACTGGAAGAAAACGTAATGACGGGAACTTGGGAAATGATAACTGTTGTGGAAATCTAGTGGCTGGACTGGGTTCAGATTCTAAAAAATCATTTGAGATGTACTTCTGAAAGTTTCAAAAAAAATGGAGAAAAAATGCGGATTGTGTTGAATCGTCAAAAAAAAGAGGGTGGGTGTTTAATTTTCATACCATAAATGAAAACTAATCATGGTTTTTCTGCAGGTTGGAAAAATTACGTGGGATAATCATGAGTACATAATTGTCTATGGATTCATTAGGCGGGCAAAAAACAAACATTTGACGGACGAAAGCTAAACTGCGGAGAAAGCCCTACATGGTACGCCGTTAATACAAAAAGTAAAATATAAAAAGCAAGGTATTTCGAGTTTAAGAAATGGTAAAGATGATATGGGTTTCGTGATGGTGAACATTGTGTGAAGCCTTTTTGAATAAAACGGTACTGAATGGGACTAGGCGATTGTTTAGTTTGTATCATGAGTTCGTGTGTTCTACTGACATCTCGTTCCTTTGAGGTGAGAAATTTTGAAAAAATTTGGAAATCATCAGAATGGCTAAACAATGTTCATAAGGTTTTACAAAACTTAGTATGTAGTCAATATTGTTATCTAGTTGTTTGTCAGTGCGATGGGGATCAAACCAGGGAAAGAGGGTGGGTTTGTAAAAACTGCAATGGGTACCACTCTTGTCCCTGTTGTCCCTGTCTTCAATGTATTACTGTTGTCGAAGACTCTGTGGTACATTGAAGACTCTGTGGTGAGTCTTCAATGTACCTTTGATTCTTGTGAACATAGTAGGCGATGGAAAATTGGTTAGACTTTGTTCAATAAGTCTATTTTTCATTTGTGAAAAAAACGACGATAGGAAATTTTCGAGATAGACTGAACACCGGATTGAGTTATTTGGTGAACTTTTGAGTCTGGTTGAATGAAATTATTTCAATCATACTCGAGTTGGTTGAGCGTATTAGGGCTGTGAGTACCTTCAAGGGTATCTTCAAGCGTTAGAATCAGTGTAGGACGTACTAGAACTGGAAGAAAAGATATTGACGGGAACTTGGGAAGTGATAGCAGGTGTGGAAAAACTAGTGGCTGGACAGGGTTCAGGTTCTAAAAAGTCGTCTGGCGTCTATTTCTGAAGTTTTTTAAAAATTACGGAGAATAAATACCCATTGTGTTGAATCGCCAGAAAAAATGTGAGATAAGTCAGATGATTTAGTGGTAAAAACTTGAAGGAGTATGGACAGGGTAGGAGTGCATTGAGAGACGGGTAAGAGGATGGGCGTTCAAATTTCATGCCATTAGTGAAAATAATAATGGTACTTATACAGGTTGAATAAAAATATGTGGGGTTATCATGAGTATATATTTGTCAATCGGTTCAATAAGCGGGCAAAAAAACACTTGGCGAAGGGAAGCTAAATTGCGGAGAGAGTCCTGCATGGTAGTGCCTTTAATACATTAAGTAAAATATAAAACTAAAGGTGATGTGCATTTCGAATTTAAGAAATTGTAAAGATGATCTGGGTTTTGTGATGGTGAACATTGTGTGAAGTGACTTTGAAAAAAACGGTAGTAAATGTGAATATGCAATAGTTTAGTTTTTATCATGCGTTCGTACGTTCAATTGAAAACTCGTTCCTTTGGTTTGAGAAATTTTTTTATAAAAATATTTTGAAATTATCAGAATGGCTAAATAATATTCATAATCTTTGACGATTCTTACTTTGTAGTCAAAGATGTTATCTAACTGTTTGTCACTTTTGATGGAGGATGTAGTCAGTCTCCGTGAACCTTTTTTCGGTTATTTATGGGTTAAACTCGTGCTCAATGCTATGTGATGAATCTTCCATGTACCTTTAATCCTTGCGATTATAGTAAGCGATGGAAAATTTGTTTAATTTTGCGCATCATGTCTATTTAGTAATTGCGAAAAAGCGATGTCAGGGAAGTTATCGAGATAGATTGAACAGGTGACTTGGCAAATGATATTGATGTGTGACTACTCAGTGGGTTAGCACAATTTATTAATAAAACCATGGTCGAGTGTGTGTTAATCTGTTCTCGTTTAAATGAAGGTCGTGTTGAGTTTGCAATTTCTTGTTATAGAAGCAATATTCTGAAAAGCATGGGATGGAGTAAAGTAGTATTTGTGCGTGTCAGTGGATTTTGGATGAGTAATTTGTAGTAGTTGTGATGTGGATGGG